GATTCTCCTGCCTCAGCCTCCCAAGTAGCTGAGACTACAGGCGTGTGCCACCACACCCAGCTAATTTTTGTATTTTTAGTACAGACCGTGTTTCACCATGTTGGCCAGGCTGGTCTCGAACTCCTGGCCTCAAGTTATCCTCCTGCCTTGGCCTCCCAAACCGTTGGTGCATGAGCCACTGCACTGGGCCTTGTATTATAATTGTTTTAAGTTATACGTCTTGTAAGCTCCTGCAGGGTTGATTGATGAAGAGAGAGATGCATTGGTAAACAAGATGCCCTCAGGCTCTCCTTTAAGGAATAAAGATTAATAGGCCACTCAGAAAAGTAAACACATAATGTAAGTATGAATGAAGTGCTGTAATTCAGATTCTATGGGAATTCAGAGGAGAGACACTCAAATGTCCGATGAATGGAGGCTTGTGTCCATTTTAATCTATATATACAGCAGATTGATCACTTTTGAATACAATACTGCTCGATGAAAAAGCATAGTCTGAAGTAACCTTCAGATTGTATGTATTATTTTTCACAAATGCAAGGTTTAAATGATTATTCCCAGAGGGTGAGCAGGGCCACAGAAAAGAATAAAACGGGAAATTTCTAAAAATGCATTGAGATACTTGTTTCTTGGAGACTTAGTACCATTCCAATACTTAGCATTTATCAGATTATTATGGTTTGCCAGATAATGTGCTCAAAGGATTCTTTACCCTTTAACCCTCCTAACCCTATTAATGTAGTACAAGTATTATGTTCATCTTTTAGATGTGGAAACAGGGACCCACAGAGGTTAAAGTACCTACCTCAAATCAGAAAGCTGGAAGGTAAGCTTTTAACAACTCTGAGTAGATCTTCTTTTACAGTGTGAGAAAAATCCTAAAACAGAGGGAAAGGCAGACAGGGCGGCAAGAGGAGAGGTATTTGGTGGAGCGCAGAATAACACAAGGTGAAATTCTCTTTTATTTTTTTTTTTAGATGGGTGTCACTCTGTTGCCCAGTCTGGAGTGCGGTGGCATGATCATAGCTCACTGCAGCCTTGACCTCCTCGGCTCAAGCAATCTTCCTGCCTCAGCCTCCTAAGTAGCTGCGACTATAGGTGTAGATCACCATACCCAGCTAGTTTTTGTGATTTTTGTAGAGGTAGAGTCTCTCCATGTTGCCCAGGCTGGTCTCAGATTCCTGGACTCCAGAGATCCACCTGCCTCGACCTCCCAAAGTGCTGGGATTACACGTGTGAGCCACCATGCCTGGCCATATGTCAAATTCTTAAGCTATTTGTTATCACAGATCATTGAAGAAACTGGCTATATAATCATTACTCTTGCATACATAAGCCTCTCACAAATCTCTCCAGCATCTGAAAATTCCTATTAAATGAACGGCGCTGACTGGGAATATCAGAGAGTGTCCCAACAGGGTTAAAGCAAGTTGCATGATTTTGTATGTAATTATCTTATAACATCAATATATCCATGATATGGTATCACATAAGACACTGATACATTGGCCATTGTATGTGTAAGCTGAACTTTTAATTTTAAACAGGGCTTGTACTTTGATTATTTATCACAGCATAAAATTCCACAAATAAAATATTCTTTTACTTTGAAATCTGTCTTCACTTTATGGCTTTTTAATATGAAATTTTATATTGGTATTACTGATGTACCTTGACTTCATTTTACTAAACAACACTCATATTAGTACTTCAGTACTGGCAACACAGCTAAGCCTTAAACTGAGCCAAATATCTATTAAAGTGAATTGCTTTTTATGCTGAAATCAATTTATTGAATAAAAGTCCCTTGCCACAATGGAATAAAGAATATAATTCCGTGTTTGAAGGAACAACAATTTTCAAATTTTAAAAAAATATAATCTGGCCAGGCATGGTGGCTCACTCCTGTAATCCTAGCACTTTGGGAGGCTGAGGTGAGCGGATCACCTAAGGTCAGGAGTTTGAGATCAGCCTGGCCAACATGGTGAAACCCCATCACTACTAAAAATACAAAAATTAGCTGGGCATGGTGTCAGGCGCCTGTAATCCCAGCTACTCGGGAGGCTGAGGCAGGAGAATCGCTTGAACCTGGGAGATAGAGGTTGCAGTGAGCTGAGATTGCACCATCACACTCCAGCCTGGGGGACAAGAGCGAGATATTGTCTCAAAAAAAAAAAAGCTTAGTCTAAAAATTATTCAATAATTTCAGGTGTGTTCTTTAAAACTAAATTTACTCAATCAATTCATATAATCCTCTCTATATAAAAGATAAAAACCTTATTCTTGGGCTAACTTGATGGAAAAGCTTCTTAGTTTTTTAAAAGGCTCTATTAAAGAGTATTCTTAGAAAAAGTGTGGTGTACATCAGTGGTCCCCAACCTTTTGGGCACCAGGGACCAGTTTTGTGGAAGACAATTTTTCCATGGTTGGGGGTGGGGGTGAGGGTGGGTTCTGGGATGAAACTGTTCCACCTCAGATCATCAGGCATTAAATTCTCATAAGGAGCGCAAGCTAGATCCCTCGCATACACAGTTCACAACAGGGTTTGGGCTCGTATGAGGATCTAATGCCGCTGCTGATCTGACAGGAGGTGGAGTTCAGGCGGGAACGTTCAGTTCGAGGCTCACCACGTGCTGTGCAGGCTGCTTCCTAACAGACCAGGGACAGGTACTGGGACCATGTGCCAGGGGTTGGGGACCTCAGTATACCTAACTAACTAAAATTAACTGCTAACCCTTTCTAGAAATACCTGAAAGCCAACTTACAAGAATATTACTTTATTTAAATTTAGCACCTTTTGTATATGTAAAAAAAAAAAAAAAAACTGATATGCTAGAGTTAGTAAAAATGGCTTATTCTCTACAATCTAGTCATTTCCTTTATAGTGCAAAAACCTACACCCCAAGAAAAAAAGAAGGATTACAAATGTGCACACAGGTATCACAAAGAGGCCTTACTAGATCCCGTTTTCTTTTTAAAATGGAGACATTTCAAAGGCAGAAAAAAACCTGAGTCTGGTTAGGTAATTGAAGTAAATGTAAGAGAGAGTCACGAGGATATTTTTACACAGGCCCAGCACGGGTGTGATAGTCCCCAGGGCAATGATTAAACCAAGTCTAACAAAAACAAATGGTAAATCTTGCAGCAGGATGCTCAGGGAATTGAGAAGAGGGTTTTGGGGAGTGAATGTAATTCGAAGGAGAGAAATAAAACTGAATATGTAGACTGGGTATAGCCAGCTTGACTTGTACACTTTGGGGTGACCAGCCACACGCACCATTTCTATTGTGTCAGACCACAGGAGAAAGCTCCATAAGAATAATTCTGCCCGGACATCTCGCCGGGACATTGTTTTCAGGATTCCAGAGTCACAGGAGGGCTCCTGGAGTCCTGTGAACACAGACACCTGGCTCCATGTCATGGCTCCTGATGGCTGCGACAACTGGGTGCTGTTGGTTGCCTGGGGAGATGCAGCATTTTCTTGACTTTGCCTCACTTGCTCTGTCACCGTTTTTATGTGTTGCAAAGAGCTTGAATGGGTGTGCCCATTTTGGCTACCTGCAATGAACAGATTTATTTACATTTTAGTTTTTTTAAAATGTATGCATTTTAGCTCAAATGTTATTCAAATTTAAAATTCCATTTAAAGGTGGAATTCTCCATATTCTTTTGTTTTTCACTTAATTTAATTTAATTTTATTTTAAGTTCCAGGATACATGTGCAGGACATGCAGGTTTGTTACATAGGCAAACGTGTGCCATGGTGGTGTGCTGCACCTGTCAACCCATCACCTAGACATTAAGCCTCACATGCATTAGCTATTTATCCTGATGCTCTCCCTCCCCACATATTCTATTATTTGAGGCCATTTTACTCATGGAATTTCAAGATAACACTGAAGTAGCACACTGAAAAAACATAGAGGTGGAGAAGGCTCTTGGTGTCTTGGTATTTTCCTGGATTCAGATCCGAAGTCATTTTTTACCACTCCATAATAACAAACATTATTGGTTTCTAAGCTATACACTTTCACACATTATTATCTCATTTAATCCTCAGAACAAAGCTGAGAAATAGGGATTACTATCCCATTTTACAACTATAGAAACTGGGTCTTGAGAGGTTAAAGAACGCTGATATTCAAATGCAGTTAGTATTGGGCAGAGCTGGAATTCACACCTAGATTTGTTTGACTCCGATTGACAAACTCTTAACTTTATGGCTGCTATTACCTGTCTAGATACAATAGATCATGAGTTAATTATAAAACATTTGAGCGTCATAAAATCAAATGAATCTAAGAGTCCCCCAATCCAACCCTGTCATTTTGTAAGACAAACACCCTGTCATTTTATAAGAAGGGGCTCACAGAGATGACCATACCCCAGATCTCCAGGTATGAAGTTTGGTGCTAAGAGGCAATCCATTGTTTTTTTGTGTGTTTTGTGTGTGTGTGTGTGTGTGTGATAGAGTCTTGCTCTGTCACCCAAGCTGGAGTATAGCAGCATGATCTCAGCTCACTGCAACCTCCAACTCCTTGGTTCAAGTGATTCTCCTGCCTCGGCGCACGAGTAGCTGGGATTACAGGTGCACACCACCATGCCTGGCTAATTTTTAGTAGAGACGGGGTTTCCGTGTTGGCCAGGCTGGTTTCAAACTTGTGACCTCAAGTGATCTTCCCGCCTCGGTCTCCCAAAGTGCTGGGATTACAGGCGTGAGCCATGGTAACCGGTCTAGAGGGAATCTATTTGACCACTAGAGATTCCTAGTGAAGAGTGACATGCTGAATCCAAGGTTTTTAAGCTGTTCTTTTGCAAAGATTCTTGAAGTGATCATTAGGATTGGTTAACCTAAAGCATCTCTTCTGTGGCCATGGTCAACACACCAGTGATCTAAAAGAATAAGGCACGTAATGCAACACCATTGTGTGTGTGTGTGTGTGTGTTCCTCTCCGTGTATACATGGGTGTTGAGGTTGGATTATGTACAAATTCTCAAATCTCAAGACCTAAAACAATGTTGATGGCATTGTTTTTATGCACAGAAGGGATAACGTGTTCTTTTTCAAACATTTATCCACTAAAACACCATTTTGGTTGCTAAGAAATTATCAGGACTTGACAAAGTTTACTCAGCAAACATGCTGAGCTGCCATATGACGTGATAAGACAAAATTTAAAGGGAGTCATTAGACTGAATAGCTCTAAAGGTCAAAGAGACAAAGTAAATAAAAACTTGTTGAAGCGCATGGAGCTGAACATGAAAACATTTTACAATAAATAAATTATGATTGATAACTAATAAAATGCTTGACTACTATAAGTAGGAGTTTGTTTAAAGGACACAATACATTTCTAGTTTCTTTTATACAAGTAACTAATTAGTTTTAAAGTTTAAGTGTGAATTGAGCATTTTTATAAACTAAAAAGATAATCTAAATTCTTGATGACACATTACTTCCAGTATGAATCATTGATAGGTAAATGTCAGCACCCATGACCTTAGAAACTTCTTTATCAATATTAGAATTCAGTGGCCTGAGTGGGAATCTTCTTAATAAATAATACTCAAGTAAGGGAGAAAAGTATATAACAAGTTATTATTCTTAAATTCATAAAACCATCTTTTGAAACTCAGATGCTCATTTGTATCTATTGCACTTCTTATATTATTTAAAAAATTAATATAGAGCCAGGCGTGATGGCTCATGCCTGTAATCCCAGCACTTTGGAAGGCCCAGGCAGGTGGATCACCTGAGGTCAGGAGTTTGAGACCAGCCTGGCCAACATGGTGAAACCCATCTCTAGTAAAAATAAAAAAATTAGCTGCGAGTGGTGGTGGGCGCCTGGAATCCCAGTTACTCTGGTGGCTGAGGCATGAGAATTGCTTGAACCCGGTAGCAGGAAGTTGCAGTGAGCGAAGATCGTACCACTGCACTCCAGCCTGGGCGACAAGCGAGACTCCATCTCAAAAAATAAAATAAATAAAAATGAATTTAAAAATCAATATAGAAAATATTGCCTTAGAATATGTCATGTCCTAGAGAACTTTTGTTCCCCTCTCTTGATAGGTGAAACTGTCATAATGAAAATCCAAATGGCTTTGTCAACATTCAGAACACAGTGTGTAATTTGGGCTTTTGAAAGATGATTGCAAATTCAGCATTGTTTCAAAGCCAGGAAGTGGAAACCCCAAAAGTGACACATTAACATTTTTTTAAACAGTCGGTGAGAGTCTTAACATTTCAGATGCTAAGAGCAGCTGCCATGAACAATGAAGTCTTAGCTGGAGTTTGGTTTTAATGAGATACATGTGTATGAGGTGAAATTAGGTCTTTGAACTTCGTATCTTTACACAGCTCAAACTAAATCAGGGGGTACACGGATTCTGCTTCCTCTTTCCAAGTGAGAAGTACTAGAACTATTAACTGGAAAGCTTTGATGGCCTTCCAGGGGACTGGGGAGAGTTAAGGAAGCTGAGAAATCTTTTGGTCATTGGAGGGGACGAGCAAGCACATCTCGGAGCAAAGTACAGGCTCATGGATTTGATGCTATTCCCGTTAGCTCCAGGATGAGTTTGCTCTCCACATGACTTTCTAAATGTCCACTTAGAGCTGGAATTCTTTTTCCTGTTGTTGTTAGTTGTTATTTGTTCTGTTTGGGTAAAACGATATTCACTGGCACAAAATCCATAGAAGACATAAGCATAAAGAGAGAGCTCTCCTCACCTCCTGAGAAGCGCACATTGCCCTTTAAAAAGTAAAAATAGGCCGGGCGCGGTGGCTCAAGCCTGTAATCCCAGCACTTTGGGAGGCCGAGACGGGCGGA